CCTCTGCCTCCCGAGTGCTGGGACTAAAGGCGTGCGCCGCCGCCGCCGCCGCCGCCGCCGCCGCCGCCCGGCGTATTTATCTTCTTATCAGAAAATTCTCTCAATCTCCAGTATAAGACCAGGGTTGAGTAAAGATTAAGGCAAAGACGGGAAGGAGAAGATAAAAACTCAAATCTCTGGTGTGTATTCAGACTCAGAGATGGGTCTCTCATTGCTAAACATTTCTCAATGAGACATCTGATAAATATTGATGTATTTAAATGTGTTTATACTATATTTAATACTTGTTTTGTGATTCCAGCTAATCGTCAGCATTGAAATAAATAGAAATGTGTATTTTATGTATGTAAAAACTATGTAACTTCTAAACTAAATTTTCTAATAAAACTTGACTCAAAACTGTCACCAAAAGGAAATTTACATTATACCCACATCTGCATTACAGTGTAATATCCCTAGATGAATGACCAGATCCACTTTCATGAAAGAGTCTGATATCTGTCCCAAGGTATAATATCAGGTAGAGTTTTCGCTACTTTTAGTTTTTGTTGTTGTTGGTATGTCTGATTTTTGTTATTTGTTTTGTTTGTGAGACAGGGCCCAGGTTGGCCTGGACCTCTATATGTAGCTAAGGATAATGGTGAACTTTTTAAATATATGTGTGTGTGTGGGGGGTACACTTGGGTACACATGGGTGTTGGAGACCAGAGGACAATCTTAAGTGCCACCCTTTAGAAACACATCTACCTCATTGGCCTGGAATTCATCTATTAGGCTAGACTGGGTGGTCAGTGGACTCCCAGAGTCGTCTTATCCTCACTGAATGAAAAAGAAAGAAAGAAATAAAAGGAGGTCATGGCTGCTCCTAAGGGATTGAGGTGTATTTTGTTTTTGTTTTTGTTTTTTAATCACAGATATAAGGGAGAATACAGGCAGAGGCATTTGGGAGAGTCCAGAGTAAACATGACCCACAAACTGAACTGAGCCATGTGAAGAGAGAGCGGAGAAGAGAGGTGAGAGCCAGGAGCAGAGGTAGGAGAGCAGAAAAAAGAGAGGCCACCAAAAGGCCAAGAGGCCAAGATGGTTGGTAGCCAAGATGGCTGAGGTTTTGGAGGGAAGAGCAGCTGGGGGAGGGGCGGCCCAGTTCAGTCCCTGCGCTGGAGAAGTTTAAGGTGGGGGGAAGGGTATGTCAGCCAGGAAGACCCTGTCACAGGTGGGGACTGAGGGATGCTAGAAGAACGGGGCAGCCAGCATCAGATATTAATATATCTCAATCAAGTAGCCTTTGCCCTGGGTTAGAGACCTGCTATCCAACATCCCAGTTCTAGGATCACAGGCATGTGCCACCATGCCTAACGTTTGTACGTGGGTGCTAGGGATTGATCTTGGGTCCTTGTGCTTTTCGAGCAAGCATTTTACCAACTGAGCCATCTCCCAGGCTGACCTCGAACATCTGGACTTCTGATTCATCTGCCTGTACCTCCCAAGTACTTAGATTACAAGCCACCATACCTAATCTTTTTCGATGTTAGGGATCAACCCCAGGGCCTTGTGCATGCTGGGCAGGGACTCTGATCACTAGTGCCTGGATATACTTTAATAAGCAATGAATGTGACCATTTAGCCACCAATTTTGAACTAACCCAGGCCTAGTCTGCTCTTTGCCTGCATTCCTCCTTTCTTCAAGAATTAGAAGCTGCATTTTATAGAGAGGAGAAAGGGAATAATTAAAATGTATTTTAAAAAAACTGGCAGGAATTTAATTTTTAAGAGGAAATAATAAAGATACACACATACGCTGGGCGGTGATGGCACACACCTTTAATCCCAGCACTCGGGAGGCAGAGCCAGGCAGATCTCTGTGAGTTCGAGGCCAGCCTGGTCCTCAAAGCGAATTCCAGGAAAGGCACAAAGCTACACAGAGAAACCCCTGTCTGGGTGGGGGGGAGGGAAGAGTGTTAAAAAAAAGATACACACATACACGTTTCATGCTTCGAATACTAGACTCACAAAAGTGCCTCTCTTGTAGCTCTCCACTCCTAGGAGACAGAGGTGTGAGTTTTTAACTTAAATTCATATTGGTATTGAGCAACTACCTATCAAGCAAATACAATTTGCTAGGAATTGACTAGGCCATGGACATTTCTTTGTTTTTGTTTCATAATTTTTCCAGAACTTCATACATGAACACAGCACATCACTCCCACCCCTCCACCTCCAGCTCTTTCTCTCTCCCTCTCTCCCTCTCTCCCTCTCCCTCCCTCCCTCTCTCCCTCCCTCTCTCCCTCCCTGTCTCCCTCTCCCTCTCCCTCTCCCTCTCCCTGTCCCTGTCCCTCTCCCTCTCCCTCTC